TAATTTAGTATATTGGAATAACTCAATTATTTTCCAACTTGTCTACGCCAATTCATTATTACTATCACCGACGAGATATTATTAAAGATCGTCAACCCTGAGTAAATTTTTGTCCTTTACAAAAAAGATCCGAAGATAATGGAAGAACACTGACATTATCGACAACTGATATAAATTTATGGTTTATTAATAATTAACACAAATATTTCAGATAATATATTATTAAATTCATATTTTTTATTATATAAACACTCCATAAATAAGTACATATTGCTGCAAAATTATGATTTTTTTTTCTACAGTTAAGCTGGGAGTACAAATTCTTGCGTAACACATAAAGCATAAGAAATTCAATGAATCAGAGTTCTTTATTTCATGGAAAAGAAGAAAACAAAGGACTTTGATTCAGTTAATTTTCTTGTGCATTACGTGTTATGAATTATGCAAGAGTCTGTGCTCCCCGCTTTATCATTTCTATTGATAATATCGCGACGGCGAGATAGTAGAAAGAAACTTGAGAGCATGCTCAGGATTTAGCTATTACTTTATTTTGAAGCGCCTTTACGTCCACAAAATGTGAACATTGAACTACGTAGCCAATATCTGTGATCCGGTCGGTGTCTATGATTTTTTGGTTGTATTTTCGCTATATCCACGAATTTCGATTCGTTAGATAGACTAATGCCCATTTCCATCAACGTAGATTAACTTTAATCTCGGTTCAACTTACTCGTCTACTTTTTCTAATCTTTAGAATTAGAAAAAGATGAAGAGTAAGTTGAACCGAGCTTAAAATTAACACTGGTGAAAACACGGGCAAAAGACGAACAATCAATCTGTCGGCGCTTATAATAATCTTGTTACAAGACAACTTACAGTGAGTGCTTTCCAATCTTAACACATCTTAACACAGGACTGCACAAAGTGTATCATTGTGCACGATTCAAACAGAATGTGTACGTTGTGCATGAGATCTGTTTCGGATAGAGTTGGATTAATGAGTCAATTCTAAACAGAATCGTAAGACTCATAATATATGTTCTCGTAAAACTTGTAAGAACTTATGACTAATATTCTAAGTTTATGCGTATATATTGTAAGACGTATGATTATTCGTAAATATAATATCTATGATTTCTTATAAATTTTATAGCTAGTAAGAAGCTGTCTGTAAAAATATTGTATAAAGGTATAAGCATTTAAAAATTCTTTTTTATATAAGTCTTACAGGAATATGTTATGAGTTTTATGATTCTGCTTAGAATTTAGGCATAAATGTAGCTTTTTCCGCCTGTATTAAATAAAAAAAAGTAAAAGTGCCGACCACTCAATATCGTCCAATCTTATTTATATCCGCCGCAGTTAGTAACATGTAATTGTCACTAGAAAACACAAGCTTACACAGCTCTCGACTGAGTACAGATGTGTAGCATTGTGTCGATGATAAAGATGCCTTTTTATACTGACGCTTGACGCTCATTTTCAGCGTCGAAATAAGTCACGTGATAGAAATTGACGAATATCAAGCATCAATTTTGAGCATCAAGAGTCAGCATGGAAAGACACTTTGACGGACAATTGAAACGCAATTTTTGTCGCTGTGTGCATGAAAGTGTCTAGGAATATTGCAATTCGAAAGCACCCAGTTTTATCTATCGGACTGAAATGTGTGAACATAGCGAAAAGTACAACCAAAAAATACCATAGACATTACCGACCGGATCATAAACATTGGCTACGTAGTTGAAAGTTCACATTTTGTGGACATAGAGGCGCTTCGAAATAAAGTAACAGCTAAATCCTGGGCATGGCCGCTTTCAGGCTTCTCTCTGATACTAGATTTCCTAATTGACACTTGCGTTACTATATTACGTTGCGGATTCTGTGCTGTAAAACCATAAAGGATCGCGCGCGCGCGCCGCGTGTGTTATATAGAGATCAATGAGGTTAGGAAACTTTAGCAAAGAGAACGCGGTTTTTTTACAGCGTGGAATAGCAGATTACGGAATATATTCGCAGTAATTTCAAGGGGAGCCAAAGCAAACGTGATGGCGAGCACGGGATGTTCCGCTTTCTCTCAGGATGGACAATATTACGCATTTTGCGGCAATGATGGCAAGTTGAAAATCTGGGAGACTGCAAGCGGCCGGTTGAAACATGAATATACTCCTAATCGGCACTTATCATCACCCTGCAGTGTTATAGGATGGATCTTTGTGAGCCCACAATCGGCGGGCAATGTATCGGTAAATATATGGATCGTATGCTCTTCAACCACAGATATTTTCACTTTCTCTTCCTTTTTTCGCTTTATTTTTCACTGTTATTATGTACAATTTTATGTCGACAATTTTTATTGTTTTTAATCCTCATCCGCACCAATATTTATCTGCCAATGTATTATATATTATTTCAAACTTTGTGTAAGTTTCCAGAAGACTACATTAAATGCATATCATATATTTCATTTTATATAGAGAATTTTATGTTATTTTATGACTTGATGTATGACAAATATTTCCAGCAAAAGGGCATTATTAATGAGATCATCTATAAACACGTTTATAAAAATCACAATGTTAGAAACTTATTCCTCTAGTAAGATGAAACGTTTTCTGTGTCTTTTAAGCCTTCGCCAAGAAAAAGACGTAGGAGGAAGTCAATTTCGGAACAAGTCGATCGCAAAGCTGTTGTGGCAATGGGTTCGATGAGTGGAAAAATTACTTTGTACGACATAGCTGCTGCATCTGTTAGCACTACTTTAGAGAATGGTCATTCTTCCACTATCACAGCAATCGCTTGGTCAGCACACGCTGGATTGATTACAGCAGCTAATGATTATCATATAGTGGAATGGAATCTTCAAGAGAATGGGATCAAATGTAAATGGAAATCTGGCAAGGCAAAAGTCACAGCCTTGGCAATTCCATCAAACGGAAAGTCCTTACTATCTGCTGAAAAAATAATCAAGTGGTGGAACTTAACGACAAAGCAATTGATCCGCACGTTTACTGGACATGCCAATCATGTCACTTTTCTTCATACTATACAAATAGACAGTGCAACTAGTTACTTAATAAGTGCTGCCCATGCAGATAATCATCTTTCTGTATGGATATTAGACAAAGTATGTTGCATTTCTTTCTTAATATTTCACAGTCTAAAGGATAACATAAAGTATTAAAAATGTTCTTTAATTTACTTCTGAGACAAAGATTCTTATAGACAAACATTATTAATTAATCAACAACTAGAAATTTATTTAGTCTAAAAATAAAAAAAGTTAACTTCTTAATAAGTAACATTATGTAACATTTTATACGATAACTCATTTTGTGTACAACTGTTATATGATACAATTTTACCGTGCACACTTATTAACTTTTATTCGTTTGATTGTTATATATATATACATTCAAAATTAATTTACAATTAAATGGTTTACAATTAAATTTCTTTTTATCTCTGTTTAGAATAAAAATGATAAAGCGTCGATAGCAACACTAGCCATTCAAGATGAGGCTACATCCATCTCGATACTTGTTGCAGAAGAATTGCAAGTCGGCATATTGGTTACTACTCAATCGGGTCAAGCACAATTATTCAAGTATCAGCCAAATGGTCATACTAAACCAGTGAAACCATCTCTTAACATTGCGGTAGCGGCAGATATCAATCAGAAGGAAACTGTTCAACAGATTCCAATTTTAGCAGGTCACTTAACTGAAGATGAAAAGTTATTACTGGCGTATGGTAGTTATTTTAACTTAACATTCGAGAAAGTAATGCCCGACTTTTCCGACAAAGTGCAATGTTTAATTAGATCGGAAAGATTAGATACAAAAAAATCAAAAGAAAGGAAAGAAGAGGCAATTTCTAAAGTAAAACCTACTGCGATCGAAGAAGATGTTGAATATCTCGCACCAGGTAACATTTTTCGTAATTATGTATTTTCATGGTAACAAATTGTTTGGTTCGATGAAAAACGATAAAAAAAATAAAATAAAAAATATATTACAGGAATACAAGTTTCAACACAAAAAAGAAATAGAACTACTTCAGGCTCTCAATTACTTTTAAAAGATAGATTGGAAAATCTTAGTTTAAATGCAGATGCCAACACACCAGGGAGGACACCAACGAAAGGAGCCAATATGACGCAGTTATTGATGCAAGCATTAAATAGCAAAGATAAAACTATTTTAACAACAGTGTTATTTACAAAAAATGAAGCTGTAATTCGTAATACCATTGCAAGATTACCAGTGCAAGCAATTATACCGTTGCTTAAAGAATTAACTATTATGTTGCAAGGCAAAACATATGCGTAATTATATTTTTTCATTTATAAATTTTTTTCAATTTCATTTCATTTTATTCTATTTTAAAAATTTGCGTGAATTATTTTCTTGAGACTGATTATTTTATTTAGGAACAAAATTGCAGTAATGTGGTTGCAAACTTTAATAATGACTCATGCAGCGCATTTAATGTCGCGACCAGATATCGCAGAGATACTCAGCCCTATTCTTAGTTTTATTGATGCAAAGTTAGCACTTTTAACAGCTATACAAAGATTAAAAGGCAGAGTTTCTCTTATAACAGGACAAATATCTCAAGCTAATGAGGAACACAACAAGGATATAACTGAGGAAAGTTTGCTTGTTTATCAAGATCCAGGTTAATATGGCATACTGACTTCCAAAATTTTATTGAATTAACATACTAAATCACGTCATCAAAAATGTATGTAGATTCATCGGATGAAGGTGCCGATAAAGATGATGTTGATTTAAGCAGCGAATCCGATGACAATTGGGAAGAGATGTCCGATCAAGATGTTCAAGATGAACATGACGAAGAAGATAACAAAAGCGTTAAATTTGATGACGATGATGTGGACGATAACGAATCTATACACAGCTGAAATCTATCAAATTGGTAATGATTTGTTTATTTATCTATTAATTTATTAAATAGATTAAGTAAAAAAAAGAATTCTAATTTGAAGAATATTAATTAAATATGATTACTTTTATTTTCTAAAAATTTCATATTAATATGCTAATAATTTAATATTTAATTTTTACTAAAATAATAAAGAAATAAAGTAATAAAAAATTAAAATGATATAAATTTTATATTAAGGCATATTCGGAATAGATTCCAATCAGAAATATTTTATTTTCAAAGAAGAGATTACGATAGAAATCTAGGGAATAATTGAACGATTTCGACTAGAATCTATTCCGAATAATTATTTTATGATGACGTGCCCTGTATATAATATATTTATACCGTTCGTATCATTTATTTGTAAACTATATTTAAAAATTTTAAAAAAGAAAAGAAGAAGTTTTTTTTATATTTCTATTATTATTTTCAGTAAAAATTTTAATTACTATGGAGATATTCTTGATGAAAGCCAGATGGTGCTGTAAAAAGTAATATCTTTTTTTTATGAGACATTTATTTTCACTATTATGTGAGGATTTGGATGAAAATACAGCATTCTTTAATAAAGAAATCATGAAAGCTGATACATTTTTCTTGTTCATAACGATTGTATACCCAATATTTTTAAGAAATACATAAATGTATAATTATATGTATATGAATAACAAATAAGTAATATAATTTTTTTAATATATCTTTTTTCGTTAATCCATCCATTAATTAAATCTAATATTATATTTAAATATAAAGAACAGTAATGTAAAATAAAAATATTTTCTTCGCATATGAATAAGATTTATATGTATCATATATGATATACGAAATGTGTAAATCTTATCGTGAAATTTCGCTCGGCGACTCCGCCTGATAACTCCGAGCGACGTCGATGACATGATGAGGATGCGGACATTATGTTTTCAAAAATGTTTACAAAAAACAATTAAATCCCTAAAAAAAGCTCTTTAAAAAAGAAAAAATATACGCCAAGTACATAAAAAAGGTATCGAACGGTTACATTTCGTTTAATAAAAAACAAAATAAATGCAATTAGCAAGTATTAACGCAAGATATGAGATAAATTGAAAGTGACTGAATAGTGAATTTGATGCGATTAGACGCACTCAGTGCGCATTGGTGTACATTAAAGTCGTTGTACACAAGTTAACGTAAAGATTTATAAATAAACATAAAAACTGGTTAAATCATGAAATATTCAATACACTATTGTGCTGTTAGGTATATATAATTCAAAATATTTGCATTTCACTTTTACACTTAAATTAAGTTAGTGTACAATTTAATATGCGGTTTTAATACCAGTGCACACTAATGCATTCAATCGAATTCGCCATAAAATGGTCAACTGGATTGTAGAAACGAAAAAAACTTGGTCCCCCTTTCTATACAGAACTTTCATAATAATAATTACCGTTTAGGATTTTATATCATGCAAGTGATACGAATTGACAAAATTTTTTTCAATAAAATATGCTGAAAAATGTTGATTCTTACAAATATTTATTTCTATCTTATCTGCCTATTTCTTCATACATTTTTTCGATTACATCATTATCTTAATTATTAATTATTAATTAAATAAAATTATTAATTAAATAAAATTCATTCAATAATGTATTTTTTCCTGAGTAATTATATAAAAAAAAAATTATATTCAATAATAATATATTTTAATATAATTATTCATTTTATATTTTCTTTAACGGATAGGGCACTTTGCGTTTTCTGTCTTCGGTGATTGCAATGAATTTTTTTTTTATTTTGATATCTAATTTTAAAAAACTGAACTATTAATAAACTATAAAAAATTTTACAGTTGCATTTTCATCCGTGTATAAATTTTGTAAAAATTATTTTGAAAATTATGTACATAAAAAAAGACTGCACAAAGTAAATATTTTTAGATTGCATTTTCACATTTTTACCTGACGCTAAAAATGAGCATCGTAGCGTCAGGTGAAAAATATTGTAGCCCAAAAATATTTACTTTGTATAATCTCTTTGTACGTAATAATTTTCAATATAATTTTTACAGAATTCATACACATTAATTAAATAATAATATTAATTCTCTTTTTATTAATCAGTTTTAATTTTGTGATTCAATAAAAAAATTCTGCTTGAATAAATAATATATAATCGTTGAGTAATAATTGTCATTATCAAAGAACAGTTATCAAAGTCAAATTATTTTAATCGCAAAGTAACGAGTTATGTGTACATATATATTTGCTATCATATTATACGAAAAGTGTAAATTAAGTATCTGCTGCTTATTGATTGATAAGCAACAAGATAATCGACAAACAGTCTTGCGAATGTTTATAATTAATATTTGGATTTTATAATTCTCAATTGCTTGAAGAGATATCATTGGTATAGAAAAATATAAAGTATTATTTGTTGTATAAAATATACATATATATGTTGTTATTTTTTCGCTCGGTTAATTTTTTTAAAATACTTGAAGTATTTTCCAGAAATTAATTTTGTGATATTAAAGTTTTTGAACATTCTTAAAGATAATTATTAACTATACTTTTTTTTATGCTCAAGATTATTAAAATATAAACTATAACATTAATTTACACAACTAATTTACACAACTTTTACACAAAGATTGATTTCGTTGAATTTATTATTTCAGTTTCAAGTGAGTTGCAAAATTCATCCATAGTGATAGTTATAAATATTCAGAGTCCAAATGTTTTAACTCTTTGAATATTTACTTAGGTAGCACATAATATTTATAAAATATTTACAAAATATTTATAAGATTTATTTTAAATCTTTTGCAAATATTTTTGTGGTCTTAGATTGCACAGATCATAAACATTTATTATAAATATTGTGAAATATTTATTGTGAATGTATAATAAATGCTCTGAAAATACTTAATGAGACATTATAATCCAAGTAAAAAATACTACTATTAGAAATATTTATCATAAATATTACATAAAATATTAAGTCTATATTTTAATAATAATATTTTGAATAAATATGTAAAATGTGTATAAAATATCTATATAACATTTCAAAAAATGAAATATTAATAAATATTTATTATAAATATTCTATGCTGAGTACGTAGATTTCGACAGATTCTTTTAGATTTCAATAGATTTGAATGAACTGTATCATGGAAGAAATTGGAAAACAAAGACAAGAATGAAAGACATGAAACAAAAACAGAATAATTCTGATCAGAATTCCGATTTATTCCATAATAGATATCGTAGAATATATGTACATATATTTTGAAATTAAGAGAGAAAAGCTAATTATTTTTCAATTGAAATAAACTTCATGAAGTAGAGTGTAATCAACAAATATAAATCCCGGATTTACATCATGTCAAAGGGTAGACGATTACCAATAAAGATAATTGAAAAAATACAAAAGATAATAACAGAAAGATTGGTTGTTATCGGTAGGCTGGTTACCTAATAACTTTTTTAATCATGCACTCCGAACTTTGTATATATCTCTTTCGTCGATAGAGAGTATATAAAGCAATTAACGAATTGCACCAGTCGATCCTTTGCGAAGTAAGCACAAGGATGAAAGTGATCGCGTTACTCTTGGCTACGGCATGCCTGGCCCATGCCACGCAGGTACCCACTCAGGCCGCCGACAAAACATACCTTCTTAAGCAGAAAAGCATCTATGAACTCTTCTGGCATGTTGATCAACCAACTGTTTACCATCCGGAACTTTACCAAAAAGCACGATCCTTCAGCTTCGAAGATAACGTTGCTTCTTTTACAGATCAGGTACTTACTACAATGTTTTTTATACCATAATGTCTGTTTTAATGTCTGTATTAATTTTTATAAATTACAATTTTAATTTCTATAAGGAAAAATTAATTTTGTCTTTTTTATTTAATCTCATAATAAAATTATAAATTTTGAAAATAACAAAAATTGTTTGCATATAGCTATAAAGATCGCGT